AAGATTACTGGGGTCAAACAACCCCAGCAAGGTGTTCATCTAACCTCCTCTTAAAGACCCCCAGGGTAGGGGCCAGAACCACTTCTCTTGGAAGTTGGTTCCAGACCCTAGCCGCCCTGACCGTGAAGTAGCGCCTCCTGATATCTGGCCTAAATCTACCCTCTACCAGCTTTTGACCATTATTCCTGGTCACTCCTGGCAGTGCTCGGGGGAACAGGGACTTCCTCAGTGCCTGCTGATCCCCCCTGACTAATTTGTAACAGGCCACTAGATCCCCCCTCAGCCTTCTCTTCTGGAGGCTGAACAGGTTCAGGTCCCTGAACAATAAGAGTTGATGTTTCATGATCTTTGCCTTGATGCTGGTTATGTTAGTGGCATAAAGGATGCTGGCATTGGTGCAGTGGTCTTCCCATCTAATGCGAACAATCTTCCTGAGGCAATGCTGATGGAACCATTCCAGGTGCTTAGGATGGCTTCAATATGGCACTCATACCCATAGAGGAGCATGTGGATAATCACTGCATTGTAGACCAGGATCTTAGTTTCCATCTGCAGATCTCAACTGGAAAAGGACATGGTGAAGCAGCTTTCTAAAGGATAGGCTGGAGCAGTGAATCCTATGTTTGATTTCTACATCAAAACTGACTGGGAGAGGTAGCTCCCAAGGTACAGAAAATGCTCAACATTTTCCAGGAGTTCTCCACCCATGGTCATTTTTGGGGGAGGGGGGAAGCTTGTGCTCGGGCAGGCTGATGGAGCACCTTGGTCTTCCCAATATAAAGGGAAAGTCCCAGGCTATGATAGGCACCTGAGAAAAGGTCAAGGATGGACTGCAGATTGGGCTCAGTCTGTGTGAGGACAGAACTTGAACCAAGGAACAAGTGTATATGTTGATGATATACAAGCCAATGCAACCACCTTTACTCATAACTCTGTCCTTTTGAACGAAAGTGTAATCCTCCATGTTGACATTCCAGTCATACGAGCTATCCCACCAGGTCTCAGTAATGTCAATCAGATCATAGTTCTTTTCACAAGCTGCAGCTTCCAACTCATCTTGTTTACTCCCCGTACTTCCTTCATTCATGTACATGTATTGGATGCATTTTGCATTTTGACCTTGCTTCCTTTTTGCACCACTTGCTGCAGTCTTGTAGCTCTCTGGCCCTTTCCCAGAGTTGAACTGCTTCTTCGAGTCCTTTCCCTTCTGGACTGTGTGCTGTGTTGCTGGAGGGTTCTGATCACCATCCCCCATGGAACCTAGTTTAAAGCCCTCCTTACCAGGTTAGCCAGACAATATCCAGAACTGCTCTTCCCTGTTCTCACCAGATGGATCCCATCTCTTGATAGCAGTCCTCCTCCCAAGAACATCTACCCATTGTTGAAGACTTCACATCATCACCCCCATCTTAGTCATGTGTTCACTTCCAGAACACAGTGGTCTCTGCCTTGGACCCCTGCCTTCCATGGAAAGGATCAATGAGCATACCACTTCTGTTCCAGGCTCCTTAATCCTCCTGCCAAGAGCCCCAGAGTCACTTCTGATTTATCATTCCTGGCAGTGTCATTTGTGCCCACATAGATAAGCAGGAATGGGTAGTGGCTTGAAGGATGGATAAGCTTTTGCAGACTCTGCGATGTTCTGAATTTAGGCTTCAGGCAGGCAGCACACCTCCCAGGCACCCAAATCTGAAAAATAAACTGGTGCCTTTGTCCCCTGCAGATGGGAGTCACCAACTACCACCACTCTTCTCTTCCTTCTTCGTACAGTGGTCTTGCAGCCCCTGTCCTTAGGGCCTTGCACTTCCTAATCTCTAGACTGCTGCCTCCTCTGCCTCATGCCTGCAAATGTCCTCTCCTCTACATTTTCCTTAGCAGTTTCAACACAGAGTGCTTGAAAGTGGTTTCTAACTTCAATCTTCCCCTCTTCAATCCTGGGAGCCCTCTTTCTTTGAGTAGTCACATGCTGCCACTTCTCCTCATTGCCCTTTGACCTCTCCAGTACCAATGTCTTCTAACTCTTGTCCAAGTAATCTTTCTGGTCCCGGATACAATGCAGCATGGATACCCATGCTGAATAAGGTGTACAACACATACAGGAGTTCAGTTTGCCATACTGGAATAATATGTCAGTTTTCTGATTAAAAGGTTAATGAACTAGTGATACAAGAAAGCCAGACATTTAAGTCCTCATCCTCAAGTATATTCTCAGATTATTCTGAGACATCTGATGGCATTTCCAAGAATAATTAGCCTGTCTGACAGGCAGCTCTATCTTCATATAATAAATATTCTTGCAAAACACACTGTATTCAGGCAGCCAACTTTTTGCTAATATAAAAAATGCTTCTCAGTGAAAAAAAACTCCAAACATTCCTTCACAAGATGTTCTTCATCTCTTTTATTTTATTTTAAGAAAATTCTATTCGTTTTCTGGAATCAGAGGACTAAGATTATCTAAAAGTTCATATGCTTTACAAATCCTGCACCCTACAATGTATCAGAGAGATAAGATGCTTTTCCGACTTGCAAGAAAAGCTTTCAGAAAAATCTTTAAGTGGCCTGAGATGCTTTCTACTTATGTTCTATTTTGTATTTGTGGGAGAAAAGGCTTTCCATGCCACAGCAAAACCGGTCTCATGTATTCCTAACGTATTTTTATAAGACTTTCTACACCTATTTACTGTCATAATGAACATCCAAAATAGTATTTAAGCTTTGTTCTGCTTAAAAAAAACCCAACATGTTCACATTAATATTGAGAACAGTAATTATACTCTTACAGGCAGATCTGTTAACCACTGGAATAGGAAGCCACAGGAATGTTACAACTTTGTTACAATACATTAAAAAAAATTACTACTTTCTACAATGTGGAATCTGTATTTGACATCACCAGATGTCAGCTGGAAATATATTTGAATATATTTAAAGAAAGGGAAGAGACTAGCTACCTTAGGATTTGGTATTAGGATAGCGTGCCTTTCATTTCTCTGTAACCAATTCACATCTAGCACAGGTTATCAGTAACCTAAAGTCATTACTATCTGATGGCTGGTTGAAATCAAATAATCTTAGTGGATAAGGTCATCATAAAACCCACTGCCTAAAAAAGGCAACCTTGATGCAAGGTCACCAGAAAGATGCTATCCACTGGACAGGAAAAGTGAAGGAAGATGCCAGAACAGCCAATGCTGTAACAATGTTAAAGAGAAATTGCCACGCAGGTTAGGCACCAAAATATACTTGTACACTTAACACCAGATCATACCTGGCTTCAGACATCCAATTGGGACTTAGGCACAAGTCACACAATGTGATCCTAATGCACTTTATTTAGCAACTGTAAAATCATGTGGGGACTTCTATTTTGGCCTGGAAAGATCCTTAGGCATTTAGGTAGAGATCTGGGAGAGTGGAAACAGAACTGAAGAACAGCACTCAATCTGCCCTGCTCTACTTTTGCCTTCTCCTGTTCAGGAGGTGGAGAGAATGGAGTATTGTAGGATGATGAAGAACCCATACCTTCGTTGCTGTACTCCATAGCATATGCACACCTAACAAGAAGCAATGCACTTTTAAGTAGTCCCTTGTTGCAGCACATACTGTTTTGGAGCACTTGAGGTGTTTTTGGAGCACTTCATAAAGCATGTATGCCCCTATGGCTCACCCTTTGAAGAGCTTCAAGGGCATTTGAAATGCTTTGAATATGACGTCTGTCTGCAGCCTCAGTGACTTGCTCCCACCTAGATCTGTTGCAATCCAGATCAATCTTAGAGGGACACTCCATCAAGCAACTGGTGCTGAACACATGAAACTCAACTGAAAAATGGTATGTATTTGCCATAAAGACCATAACAAAGACTAATACTTCCAACAGAAAAACATAAAGGAATTAAAATCACTTAGTTTAGACTCTTTGGGTTCACTGGATTTCTTGACAATGTCATTTATAGTAACAAAAGCAAAGAAAAAATGTTTCCATCCCAGTTAATATTATTTGCAAAGCATAAAATAACTGCATTTGAAAAACCTACCTTTTAGGGACAAAGGAATGGGCTTTGTGTATTCCATGCGTTTCCACTGGCCACGTTGTTTACGAGCTTCCAAGTATTGCTTGACTCTTGAATCAATAGAGTCTTTCAGCAGCATGCAGACTTCCTGCAATTGAATCATTTGCAGGTTTATACCTTAATCTATGCAATCTGAAAAAATCCATTAAGCAATACTTGCAACAGAGTATGTAGAAATTCATTCTACATAATGTTGCATTATCATGCTAAACAGATATTAAAAGCATAAATACATGAACAAAAAAGCCACCTACAGGACTTGGAAGAAGAGTTAAACAGCCCATTTTTGGTATATATTTTGAAAAATGAAAGAGGAAGTAAATTATAACATTATTGTTATGACTCAAATATCATGCACTGCTTCACCGTATAATTTCCCAAAAGTGTATATTGTGACTATTTGCTTTAAACAGATCTGTGAAATAAATATCCTCTCATATTAGTATCACAAAGTAATGCAATTTATACTTGTGAATAGTGAATTACAATACTTATTCCAATGTAGTTAGAAAAAAAAAAGTTACCTTTAAAAATACAGCCTAAAATCATGAGAAAATTCATGATAACATGAGGAAAAAATTCCCAAGAATTTGCAGTGCCCTAATTTCTCTGCTTGGGCCTGGTAAACAAGACCAGACTGTTTTGATTCTATTCCAAGAGATATTTTAGGGAAGGCTAAAAGTTGACTAGGTCATATCAAACTAATTTCCCTGGTTTACTTAAAAATTCCTTTAAAAACTTAACTATTTGCACTTTGCAAGTATCTTAATACAATCCAGAGATAAGCATAGGCCCCTTCAGTGACAGTGTTAGGATAGGAATAAGATCAAGAATTTATCTTGTCAGTACTTAGAAGTTTTTAGATAATGTGCTTGTACATATTTTGGACTGTTTTCTCAATATCTCCATTTTCTAACATATAAAACCTCAGAGTAAAAAAAATTACACTGTGGGACACCATGATATTATTTTACATTTAAAATTTTACAATATGTATTTTAAAATAGAAAAATGAGTGTTTTTAATGAATTACGCATCAGATGCAGATATCACAGATGTCAGATAAATCAGGGTGGATTTGATTTAAATCAAATTGATTTAAATCATGATTTCATTCACAATTTAAATCACTGGTCAGGAAGCCTCCATTTATAGTCATCGTTTTCCACAGAAAGTGCACTCTTGTTGTTTGATATCCTTTATTCATTTAACTTCTTGAAACTTTGCACTTTTAGAAAAAGTGTGTACACAAACTTGCTGAAAGACAATACAGCTGATGGGTAGGTAATCAGGTCTGTTATCTCTCATCTCCATATACTGCTGTTAACAAGGATGTTATCTCTGGAGACAGTAAACTCTCCTTGTGCCTGAAGATGGGCATTTGTCCCCAAAAGCTTGCAAAGAACAATTTTTCCAACTATTTAGTTGGTCTAATAAAACATATCACATCTCCCCAAAGAATCTTGTCTGCCTGTGATCTCTGGAGACACAAATCCACAGTGTGAGAGCTGAAACTAAGCATCACAGAGATGCTTAATGGGATCTTCTAGACTGAGCACTGAGTAGAGTGGTTTTCTTTAATCTTTACCAATCTATGGAGGAGCCTATGGGAAACCCCTATGACTGGGCCCCTAATATTGTTTATAGCCTGTTGTGACCTACTTATAAAACTTCTAAAAAAGGTTACATGACTATATTGTCTCAAATAGTATATTATTAGACATTATAATCCCTATTCCATTATATCTTTGAGCTTTAACATAAATTAAAATTATCTTTACATACGTTTATTTTTTTAACAAATGCATCTTAACAAAAAATAAAAATATGATTAAATAAAAAATCTATTTAAATTAAAAAACTGGATTTTAAAAAAATGTTGATTTTTATCCACCCTGTGATTAATACAGACAACTTACAGAACAGACATATAAAAACAACAATTATATAAATATAGCTACAAATAATTAGGTTCCAAATGAATACATTAAGCATATTAATGAACCACATGAAATATTTTCTCTTTAATGTTAGTTAGAAGTATTCTTATTACTGTGAAAAGCTTATGTATGTGGATTTCCTTTAAACTCCTTAAAAAAATCTAACTATGTTCTTTAATGGAAGGATATACTTTAATTTAAAATAAAAGAGGTGAGAAAATGGCTGAAACAGAAGATGCACATGGCAATAATGAAGCATTATATAAGTCTGGTTAACTTTGGAAAATATTTCTTTTAGCAATTGTGTCTATGAAGAGATTATTCAACAGGCCTCAAAATAAACACTCATTAAACATAACTTTATAAAATGTAAACAAGCTCTTTCATCAAGAAAAAATCATATCCCTGTTTGTTCATTGAACTTGTAATGAGGTAACGTGCCTAAACATAAGAAATGAAGCAGTTAAAATCATACAACAAACTTATCAAAATGCTTTCATTTCAAGCTTAAGGCCAAATCTTCTGTTCCATCATCCTTACCAAAGAGTACAAAAGGCAGAAAAGCAAAATGACCACATTTGTCAAAGAAAAGGTGACTGAATCTGTTGCCCAAGTATCTACCTTGCCCCAAACTACAACCCCTACAAAAATTCCTTTTTCACAGACAGCCTCTTTTCTACCTTGCATTACTACCACTGTAGAAACTTTGGCACTCCACGCACCCTCCCTCCCCTGCTTTACATTTTGTTTTCCTAATCTCTACTTATTTACATGCTCACTGACATCCTGCCACATTTTTAGCTTCTCTCATTCCTTGGAGTCTCAGAACAGCAGAGGTTCCCTATGCCCAAAGAAGGGTGATCGTGCCTGAAAGCTTGCTAAGAACTTTTTTCCAACTACTCAGTTGGTCTAATAAAAGATATCACATCTACCCAAAGAAGCTTGCCTGCCTATCCCCTTTACTAAGGGCTTCTCTGTGTTTAGGCATGTACTTTAATAACTATCCTGCTTTCTGTTGGGGCCAAAAGGCCAGGATAAGCTGACTGTGGTGTAGAATCTCACCCTTCCTTCTGTCAGCACAGTAAGCTGGGAAGTTGGACAGCTACAGAGGGGAGAGAAAACAGGACAATGAATGTAGTATCACTCCCTAGCAACCTAAGATATAACTGCCCATAATCAACAGTCCACTGGATTTCAATCCAAGTACAAGCAAGGATTAAGAGAGCAGCCTGCTCATCTCTTGGTTCTTCTACAGTCCACGAGTGAAAAAGGGAGCTGCTGTTTCGCAGTCAGGAAAGACAAAGAAGGCAAACCATGCCATGCCTTCAAACAAGGTGATTAGTGAAAAATTGTGACCTAGATACTGAAAAGATCACAGGCCATTCTTCAAGATTTCCCATGTGGGGGATGATGTTGCCCATAGTGTCTTGCTGATTGTTTTCCTTCCTACCTTATATCAACACAAAAGCCTTGTATCAATAAGGTATTTAAAGAAGTATATTTTTGAGCTATTACAATCACACTTCTCAGTTTCTGAAGACACTCGACCCTTGTGCTCTACTTAAAAGTAATGAATACCTTGTCATGCCTCTTTATTACATCTATGCTGATCCACTTTCCTGAAATTCATATTTTATGTTTTGGCAGTCAGGCAAAATATATTTCGAAAACACTGGGATGTCAGATGAGCTGGGGCAGTAAAATTACACACGAATTGAAGCTTTAATGATTCATTTACTCAGAAACACATTTTAGAGTTTTTTCCTATAAGCTGGCAGAGGGTAGATTCAGACTAGACATCAGGAGGCACTGCTTCACTGTCAGGGCGGCTAGGATCTGAAACCAACTTCCAAGAGAAGTGGTGCTGGTTCCTACCCTGGGGGTCTTTAAGACAAGGCTAGACAAACTTTTCTCTGGTTTATAATGGATGCATGGATCAGCTGAATCACATACTACTGCATTCTCTCTTGCTCCCAGGATACGAAATTATTATTGCTTTTTATTTTACACTGCTGAAAAAAAAATATTTTATGAGACGTGTTGGGATGCTCTGTGGTGACAAGCTAATTATGCCATTATTAGAAAAGGTATCTGTTGACAAGTACCGTAACAGAGACTTGTGGGAAAGTCCAAAGGCATTTAAAGCAACTTGCAATGTCTCTGGTTCATTTTTGATGGGGCTCTCTCAAGTTCCTGTTACAGACTGAAGTTGGTAAAAAAAAAATTCTTCCACAAACTGATTACTGGAACCTAGTAGAACTAGCATGGAGTGTCATGAAAATTAAACACTTCACATTTGTTATATATTACAATAATTTTACAATGTGTCATCTACAGTCTAAAATCGAATCCTTATTTTTAAAAGATCTTTGAGGAAATTAGGTTAGATTTTCTTTTTTACAAAAGATAATGAATGTGTTAATACCCTAACCAGCATACTAAAAAAACCAAACATTTATTTGCCATTGAAATAAATTTGGTGCAAAACAGGTCACATTTCTAAAATAAAAACAATGAATAAAAAGACATTTTGTTACTAGAATCTATAGAGATAGATTATATCTGTCATATTTTTGGTTTATTAATCATTTTCTTGACTTATAAAATTCCTATTAGAAAAGTATGTGCTAATAATATGTTTATTAAATCTAAAAATGATCAAAGTCAAAAGGGTCAAAACAGTACATACTGAAAAAGTTTAATGTTTAAAAAACCAAAAGACAGGAGGTCACTTGGGAACCGGAGGGGAGATAATACACTTGACAGACCTAGCAGTCCCACAGGAGTTAGTTGTTCAGGGTTAGGTATAATTCACAATATTCTTATTTTAATAGTGAAAAGGAAATCTGAACAGCTCAATGCAATCCAATTTTTCCCCTGAAGCTACATGCTTTTGAAGTAGATGTTATTTTGTTGTACCTCCTTCTCATGATCTGAAAACCAGCTGGTGTCTCTACTGGGGCCTTGAGGCAAAATATGAAAATCTACCAGGACAGCAAAGTTCCCACACTGGAAGAAAAAAAAAAAAAGTTAATTGTTAGGAGGCACATGTCCAGCAGACAATGAAATAAACAATCAAGTGATCAATGACATCTGACTCAGATGTACAGCAGCTACAATTTAAAAGTTCTTGAGTTTATTTTTTTAAGAAATATTTTGTGGCTAAATAATTCCTAGCTTTACCAACATTACCTGTAAGTATAATTAGAAATGCTATTAAAATATCTTGCATATCAGAGTGAAATGAAAAGTTAGAGCTGTGCCTACCGTACCATCCTATTCCATGTGTTCCTACTGCTGGATGCACAAATTATGAGGGGACACAATTTTATTTTACTACGGATGTACCAGACACAACTCTATCTCCAGTTTAAGTTACAAGGAAAACAAGTATGTGACCTTATAGTTACGCATGACAAATGCAGCATATCCTTTTCAAATGCGCAGCACTTAGTTTTTTAAGAATGTATATCTGTTATTTAGTTAAGAATTAAAGGGCATATAAAAAGGAGTCCTTAAAAAAAACTGGCCTATGTATCAATCTTTTTTTTTTTCCTGAATTACCTTAATAATGAGATCTCGCAGATTTCAATGTTTTCACAAAGCTAACATTAAGTGAAATCTGTTCTCTAACTTATGTTTGAAGAAATTAGGATACAATTAAGCTACTAATCATCACTGCATCTAAATGTCTGAATTATATAGGCAACATACACCCAGGGTCAGCTCAATTACTCCAGGAATTCTTCTCATGGCCACTGTAATATTAAGCCTGTAACACTACCCTTCCTTTTCAGTGCATCTTGTATGCCAGAATACTATTCATGATGATGATACAGTGATAGGAGGAAGTCTGACATGCATCAAGAATTCTTATTGGTAGATCACCTGGCTGTACTCTCTTCTTGGTACTAAAGCAGCACTAGTGGGAATGTGTCAAGTGCAAAGGCACTGGGACTGGAGGTCTAGGCTTTTTTTCTTCCTACTTTTTAGACACCATGAGTCCCAGTAATACAGATTTCTAAACCAGTAAATCAACTGCAAGGTAAAGGTCAGATTCACTATTACATTTTGGCTGCTTTTTGCCATTCTTGTAATACCAAACCTACATCGAATATATTTTGACTTCTTCTTCACACCCATAGCTGAGCAGTGCCTTTCTTTCCCGATTCCTATTTATTAACAAGACTTAAATGTGAATGGTAGAGACTCCCTATGCTTGAAGAAGGGTGACTGAGCCCAAAAGCTTGCCAAGAACTTTTTTCCAACTGTTCAGTTGGTCTAATAAAAGATATCACATCTACCCAAAGAACTTTGCCTGCCATTGAATAGTCTGGGCTTTGTGCTGCTTTGGTATACCAATGAATCTGCTCATAACATTTTTTAAACTCTGTTAGAGCTTGGAGGTTTTAAGGCCAAATGGAACTGAGATCACTTGCCCTGACTGCTTGCATAAAACAAGCCACAGAATTCTAGCATGATTCTTGCAAAACCCCTCTCTTATGGTTGAGCGAGAGAATACTTCAATACTTCAAATCTTTGGAAACACTGAATGGGAAGCAATGCATGGGTTTCTTGTGTAATAGTTATGTATATACTATTTTAAATAATTTAAGCAGAAAAAAAGATGCAAGGAGTTACCACTCGCTTAAAGTGTAAAAATAATTTTTTTTAAATTATTTCAAAAGCAATTATTACAAACCCAGAAAAAAATCCCAACATGTTAAGAAATACAATTATGATACTCAAACCACTTTAATTCTGCCATATAGCAGTAATAATAAGTAAAACAAAATAAGAAAACAATATTTCCCTTTCTTGTGTCCCATTAGGACAGCACTAAGGCTGTCTGGTTGTCTTGTTGGTGTATTCCCACACCTTTATGTGTGTGGATTTCTCTTTTTGAGAAACAAGTTTAGAATGAAGCCCTTCTCTTCTTCACATAGTGGTATTCTTGAACAAATGGGATGGGATCAGCTGCACGGGATCTTAACTTCATTCTTGAGGAGGGCTATTTGAAAGTCTTCCTGAAAAATAAATTTTGTGGCTCGTCCACATAAATATCTATGTCCTGCAACCCAGAACTTCAACTATAGAAACAAAGATTTCCCTACACAGCACTATACGCACGTTAAAGGGTAAAGATTATTTTAATTCTCAAGGCTGAAAAGAACATCTATATCCAATCTTCAAAGTATTACATAGACTACAATACTTGATTGTCTCCTCACTTATACACTTAGTATAAACCTAAACAAATAGCAACGTGACTTTGGTAGTGGGGGGCTTTTTGGGGGGTGGGGAGGAGAGGGTGTTAACAAGTTGCGACAATAAATTCACTAAATTAGTCATTCCACTGCTATACGTTTCAGATTAATTGTGTTGTATAATTAACTACTGTTCAGAAGTTGTCAACAACAGCTTAGCTGCAATTACAAAATAATGCACAATCAATACTGTGCCAGTAGGTAGAACACAAAACCTTAGCAAATGTAGCAGACATTGTGAAATCAGTTTGAAAAGTTCTAAGTTATAGGTATCACTCACTGAAAGAACAATTCTTTGATCTGTTTATCAAAAGGCTTCTCTTTCTGCCAGAGAATCAAGAACTAACAGATGGCTGCAACACCAGACTTCTCCAAGGTTTTAAACGGATGATGAAGTATCTCTCAAAAATCTAGTGAATTATTAGTTAGTCCCAGCAAACTGTGGAATTAACTTGGAAGTTAACAGATAGATATTGCTTTACAATATAGAAAGTATAAAACTTATAAAGTATAAAACTACACACAACCTTTAAAATAAAATAAGACGTTATTTACTAGAATAAGATGACATTTAAGAACTATTCACTAATGCTAAATGGTACTTTAAGCCAGCTTTAGTTGAATAAGGAAAATATAAATATTTAAGCTTACAAGGTATAAACCTGATACTATTTTTTTCCCAACAGAATACAGTGAAACTTGTCTAAGATGGAATCGCACAGAAGCAGAAAAAAGGTATGGGCTTAAACAGTTTCTTATATGGGGTGCTTCCCAGCCAGAAAGGCATGTCAGGACTGTAGAAATTTTCCACCTTGAATAGGTATTGGCTTATACAGGTTGAATCTTAGACAGATTTCATTGTATTTGTTGCTTCTGATCCTGAGAGGAGAGGTTACTATTCGACTTGCTGATTTTAGAGGAGCACCTTGAAAATGTAAATAAAGCTCTGCTGACCTAAGTATTTTATTCCTACAAATGTTAAACTTATGTGCAAAATTTAATACTTGTTTTAAGCAAGCACAGCGGAATATATTTGAAACAGTATTAAGTCCATTCCAAATATTTCAAACACAGAAAGACCAAATATTTACATTTTTTTGCATATTGCTGCAAATACAAGATGTCCTTGAATTTAGGATGAACCCAAATGTTATAACCCCTACTTTAAAAAACAAACAAACAAACATAAAGACACATTTGTAAAAATGCCACCTCTATGGTTCGCACAAGAACTTGTAATGTTTTTCTGAACCGAATTTAAGACACAGGACATTTTAGAAGAAATACTTTGTTTTAAAAAGTGTCTTATATTTGAAGGAATATGTTAGTTGGTGAAATATTAGTCATATATCTAAGTGTACATAAATACTAAAATTAATAAACTTCCTAGAAGAAAAAACTCCAGCCCCCATGCAAAAAGGTAGAATGGGGGAAAATTTTCTTCCTAGCCACCATATTCAGAATCATTTTAGTATATCAAGAAGGCAAATGGAGCACTAGTTTAGAATAAATTTATAGGAAAATTAAAAGCAATTTAACCACCATAGGCAGAAAGGGATCACAGAGATTCAATTTCATTTAAGCACAGATCTGCTAGGTCACATTGGGTATGGAAGTCAGGAGAGCCTGTACCAAGTGGGGGCTTGAATACTCAAGGCTGTTCCCAGCTACTCTTCTGCAAGCTGCCTACTTTACAGACCTGAGCTGAGCATGTACAGAGTAGGCACAAGTGGACAAGGGTTATTGCTTCATGCTGTGCCTAAGCTCGCTTAGGAGGTGGTATAGACAAGCCCATTAATACAAATTCTTCAAGTATCTACGTAATAGAAGTAATGGCTTTTATGCAGGCTTCTTTGAATCCTGAATCAGTATTAAGCATCCCAGTGTAAACCAGGGGTGGGCAAAATATGGCCTGAGGACCAGATCTGGCCTGCCAATTGATTTTATCTGGCTTGTGGGTGGGTGATGCAGGCAATGGCACCATGCAGCAGGCTCTTGGCAAGCCGTGCTTGGGCCTCCGTCTCTGTAGGTAGGTGGTGCAGGCAGTGGCTCTGGCTCCAGTCTCTGCTGGGAGTTGCAGTCTGGCGTAGGCCTTGGGCAGACTGCAGTTTCTAGCCTCTGCTGGTGGGTGGCACCCAGGGCTTGTGGGACTGGAGTGCATCTCCCAGACACTGAAGAGTGGAAGGAGCCCTGCCCACCCTGCATGATGTGGCATGCCCTGGTGGCTCCAGCCTTGGCCACTGCATGGTACTGACTGGGGCTGCTTCCACCCAGCAGCCACCAGAGCCCAAGTGCAGCTCATCCAGTTCCTGCCCGTGGGGAATAAAGCCTGGCCACAGGCCTATGTGATGCCTGTCCCGTCCCGCCCTGCCATCAGGGCTCCTGGGAGCCATGGGATACTGGGCGTGTACACGCACATTCACAGGTGCCAGCTTCGAGCTCCAGGTGGGGGAGGGGAAGCAGGTGGGTGGGATGGGAGTGCACACATGTGGATGTGTGCATGCATGCATGTGTGCGCAGCCCTCAACAGCTCACCAAAACTTAAGTGACCCTCCACCTCAAAGTTGCCCACCCATGCTAGAAACTCTGTTTACATGTACTCATTTGTATATTTCTATATAGCTCTCTTTACAAACTAAATGCCAGTACAAAGAGCATAGAAAAGAATATGGAACTTAAATTGCCCAGCCCAACAATCTTAGTGTTGCCAAAGCTGATAATTTTAGCAGGAGTCCAGTAACC